GAATAAAAGGACCAACACCGTTGTTACATTGAAGGCAGAGAGATTTATCAAAATTTTCTTCAAAGGAAATAAACATTCCCTGAGATACAGGATCAAGTGTGTCCATGTGTATGGTCTTATTATCAGCTACACTCTAGAAACTACCACAAAAAACATTTCATACTTCAAGCGTGCTGAGCTTTTTTTCATGTCTAGCTAAGAATGGAAAGCGACACTTACAGAAGGACCTGCACAGATTTTATCTTTCCACTCAACCTCACGTCTGCATCCTCTGTCTGAACTCCAAACGGCTACTGACACTAAATGCCTGCTTTCACAGAAAACAGTTTAGTGCATTCATAAACGGATCAAGCACTTTGCCACGTTAATTCATTTGGTAAACATTTATACAGTTGAATCAGTGCATCACCAAACAGTTAAGCATGTAAGAGTCAACATAAAACCGAATTAGCAATTTCTTTGGCTTTATCTATTAAAGTCCCCATGTAGTCAATCATTTTATCCCCTTAAAGGTGATGTCAGGCCAAATTATTTTTTGTCACATACAGCAAACATCTCCTCACTATCCGCTACCTGCCTGCCTCCTGAACACACTGTAAAAAAAAAAGTGGTCTCTGTAGACACCACAGGCTCCACAAACGACAACAAAAACAAACTTGGCTTACCCGCACCACGAAACATAACAAACAGTGTTCCAGCCAATCACTGGCAAGAAGTATTTGAGGCTGGGTCTGGGGGGTTAGTGGGCGTGCACATGAAGGGGGTGTGTGAAGGAGAGAGAAGCATCAAGAGGGAAGTTTGAATAATGGCCGACACACGACCAAAGAGACGACGTTCCACAAAGAAGAGGGAAAAGGATAAAGAACGCGCGAAGTACCGAATTTACATCGGTAAAGCATTCGAAAGACAAAACTTATTCAATTTACTCACACAGAGCATGAAGGAGTTGGTTGAGCCATCATTAAAGCAGCAGCGTTAGCACGTGAGCTACTTTCCCTTTAAGAAATGCACGTTCACAACTGTTTCAGGAAGCACGGAAGGGAGGGAGAGGAGACGAGATGCGGAGGAGGGAGGGTCTAGCTAGCCTCCGTTTTGTTTGGCAATAGTTCGAACGTCAACAAGGGACCCAGGATCGCTTAGAGAACCTTTAAAACTTCTCTTTGATCACCAAAGTGACATATTTAAGTGTTATTTCCTTGAAAAACATTTCTTCATGTCTCAAAATAGCTTGAATGTAACTACACCCTTCTCTCATTTAGAATACACGTTCTATGAATATGCAAATGAGCCCCGCCTCCACTCACTCACACCAGCTCAGCGATCAACTGGCGATCACACGTTGACGTGATTGGTAACAAGGTGGTTTGTGACGTCAGAAACACCAGCGATTTCAAACCGCGTTTGAGACTGTCTTTGGTTCACTGCATTTTTAAGGACAAAATACTCAGCAATGGTGTTGACTTATGAATTTGCACATGGTTTGTCTTAAAGCATATTAAAAAACACCACATAGACATATATAAACAACATTAAAAGCTGGATTTTCACCACAGGGGGACTTTAAGAATTGATTGGAGTTTTTTGTTTTTGGAATAACAAGTACTGATGAATGAAAATGCAAAAGATCATAAAGTAGAGGGTTGGGGCAAAAAAATTATAATAATAATTAAAAAAAAAATCACATAAATAATAATACTATGAATATGAATCAATATAAATAAATACATATTTATAATATGTACTAAAGTCTTGAAATGAGTGCAAAAGAAAGTCAAAAACCTTCCATCTCGAACAAACTTTTTCCTCATTATTTGTGGAAAAACTGAATTTCTTGGAGGAACAGAAAACATGAATGTCAGGCTAAACAAACAAACACGGACAGGTTATGTTTATTTGGCATGACAGAGAGCGCGTGCTTCTTTGGGGATATGGTATCTTGCTGTAGGGTTACACACTCGCTCACCCCAGCGCTTGCCCAAATACAGCGCCATTGCATCATACTCCAGAAATGGGGTTTCACTTTGACATTAACTCCGACTAAACTTTCACCTATCACATGACAAAAAGTGGGTTGCTTCATGCACGCATCCCTTTGAAGAGCACGGGACACCTCCCAGTTACCAACGTGAACCTTTATTTGGGCCGAGCACCGCTGGTCTTATTAAAGCACCTGACCTCATCCACACGAATGCTGTTGTGATATCACTAATAAGGGACGCACCAAAGTACACACTTTTAAACCAACCAGTCACTGTTATTCGTGGCTAGCCAGTCTTTCCCTTTTGCCCAATAGGTAAGACAACTTCAACACCCACAATGCACTGGGCAGGTTGCCGTCCAAGGCCACTCCCACCAGTCTGCTATGGCTACGCTTGACCAGAGTCAAATACAGCCTTGCTTTAGTAGGAAATACTTCTTGGCAAACTTTATTCATAAAGGTGTCGACTCGTATTGTTCCCGGCTGCAAGATAATTCAAAGAGTAAACGTTTAGCGGGAGTGTTACTTTTGGTTTCCAGTGAAGGATCCAGTGCGTTTTAGGCAGCGGCTAAAGGCTGCAAAGAAGCGTATATACGGAGAGAATGCCGCAACGGAAAACGTGAAAAACCTCTGTGTTTGTAGTCAACATTTCAACTGGACGACCATGACCATGTATTTCGGGCTTGATCATAATTAAAAGGTTTTTTTTTTTTTTTTTTTTTTTTTTTTTTTTTAGTTATTATTGATCATTTGGTTACACAAACTGTATCTGGGATTTAATTTGTATATTTAATAACAAACTCTTGTAGTTTCTCTCTAAGCTGCCCTGTGACCCCAAAAAAAGAACATTATTATTACGCAGATTAGAACTATTATCGAGACAATATGTTCATAACAGTTAAATAAATAAATATTTACATAATTATTAAATACAGTTGAAGCAGAAATATAAAAAAAACTTAGTGTACTTTGGTATTCTAATTTTAAAAAAAATTATGCGGAAAAACGTATTATTTGACGAATTTTTATTTCACCCCTTAAGTTTTTAATGCGCTCCTCAATTTTTCAACTTAAGAGCACGTGTGCTTCTGTTCCTGAATGCATATAAGGCTGAACGGACTCATCGAGCCCTTACATATCATTTCCCTCCAAAAAGAGGTGGAAGTAAACAAGGTACTTGAGCTGAATCAGGTTGAGAGGGGTGTGAGGTGAAAAGCGAGCAGGTGCGGTACACACGCTGAACCGGTGGACAAGATTTGTATTGGCACAGACTGTCCTTCAATGTACCAGGCTGGCTTCCTCCAGCCAAACACAAGCGCCATCTCGCTCACATACACACGGTTCATCTTTGCTATTGTAGCCAGCCAAGCTGTCACCCAAGACCTATGTTTACTAGAGCTGGTATAAAAAAATAAATAAAAAACACTTTAAAATTATTGATTTTAATCTCATTCTTAAATCCCAAGAATCTATCTTTTAGGGTGTGTTCACACTTGCCATGTTTGGTTGGATTAAAACGAACCCTGGTGCGATTGCTCTTTTAGTGCGGCTCATTAGAATAAGTGTGAAAGCTACCACCCGAACCCTGGTGCACACCAAAAAAAGTGGACAGAGAAAAGATGGGTCTCGGTCAGCTTCCAAACAAACTCTGGTGCGGTTCGAATTAAATATGAACGCAACATGGACAAAAGACATTTAAACGCACCAAAAACAGGAAACGATGTCACAAGATGCGACCCTAAAAAGGACAGAATCCTCAAGCATACCCGTCTTTCTCATCATAGTCACGATGTTACCCATCACAGTTCCGTACAGCCATTAGAACAGCGTCTTTTTGCTGTAGATCTTGGTTTGTATGTGTGACAAAGGGATTCCTGGTGCTGTTTTGACACCTTTACACATACGATAAGCTCTTCACGAGTTCTCAGCTCCATCATCGGGTACGTTGAAAGATGCAGTACAACTTACCAAAATCCGTATAACGTAATTTGCTCAGTGTTTCAACAGCGGAAAGACATCAATAAAACAGCTTGTAAAAAATGACACGTAATGTTACATTTACCTCAGAGAAGCTCTTTAGAGAAAAATTAACTCTTGAGGAGCATTTTGCTAAATTGTATTTTTACTTAACCTGTTCTTCAATATTATGTAATGTAGACCTATTTTGGAATAAATCTGTTGTGTTTTTGACGACCACCATTTAAATGTTTATATTTAAAAATAAGTATAAACATAACTGTCGTTAATTAATAATGTTTAATTATTATATAAACCTTCTTATGTGTCATTTAGTTGAAAGTAGCCTACAAATCAGTTAAAACCTTTAATATTATAGTAATGTACTAACTGGGGTTCCCTGTATAGTTTACGGCATTAGTTATATTTTTGCCATGTACTGTACCTTATAGGCCCCAATTAATCAATATCAAATCGAATTGAATCACTAGTTTGTGAATCGAATCGTGAAATTAGTGTCAATGTTGCCCAGCCCTAATTTTTACTACAGAAACATTCTCCAGCATTTTTTTTCAGACAATATATGTCTTAATATATACTTGCTGTGAATCTGAAATGGCAAATTTATTTATTTTTTACCAGAGGAACATTTTTTTCTACCAAACAGCCATTGTAGGCTAAACAAAAAGCACAATACAACTGCAACATTCACAATTGTTGCTTAAATTTATAAATCGCCAGCAAAACAATCGCAAATATATTGTGGATATTCGAAGCTCTAGCTCCTATGGCCTCGGAGAGCAGGCATACAACTTACATAACATATTTCAGCACTAATTACATCAGTCCACAGGTGACAGTTTCAAGTTTCAAGTTTCAGTAGCTGGAAAGACCAAGTAAAAGCATCTATGGTGATTCCAGGAGCCCAACATAGACTTCTGGTTCATTTTAAGCAAAAACGTATATTGTTTCCAAAGAAATGTTGCACAAATGCCTCCTTTTCAGGATAAATATCAATTGTGGACAATGTAATGCTAAAAAAAAGCAGCATTGAGAGGCAACTTACTTCTCTGGCAATGGTTTTGGTTCCAGCAACGCTCGCCGAAGTTCCCGTTGATGGTGGTCTGTTTGCAGGTTATCGTTCCCTTGATGGTACCCGGGCAAATGTCTCCGCACTCCCGGTCATCCTTGTTTGCCACGATGTAGTTGTCCTCCATCGAGTCCGAGATCTTGGACCAGTCGAGAGTGGACAAATAACAGAGGTCGGGGTTCTTCTCGATGCGTACCGCCCCGCGCGTGATGTTGGTCAAGCTGTGGAGGCCGATCTCCTTCAGCTGGATCATTTCGAACATGACCAGGGCGTAGTTGAAGAAGAGGTTGTTGCCGCGAATGACGGTGAGGTTCGGGAAGAGGTTGCCGAGACTCTCCAGGCCGTAGACGCGGAAGAGGAGCAGGTAGTCCGTAACCACGACTAGCTTTGGGAAACTCAAGCCCCGGAAGTCCTCCGGTCTGGTCTTGAACATGAGCAGGATCTTCAGGTGGCCCTCGATCACCGTGCAGTTCTCGAGAACGCGCAGGTTGGTCGCGTTGTTGCGGACGTCCGTGCTGGGGCAAACTGCAACAACAGAAAATACAAAAGTTATTAGCATGTGAAAGTGTTTATTTGGACGCAATTGACAAAATGCCAACATTATACGTCATGTCTGTCTCTGTTGCAATTTTGCCGTAATTAGAGATGACTGTGATTCCTCATTATACTCCTCATTTAAATAATTCCTGCATATGCAAAACAAAGGGGCGGGGCCTGATTGAGTTGAGTTAGGAGTGTATTGAAACTCGTGGTTATGGTTAGGGACGTGACATTTCCCAAACATGCTCGAAGCGCTTGACCAATCACAACACTCTGGTCCAGGCGACCAATCAGAGCACATTGAGGTTTTCAGAAGGAGGGGCTTCAGTGACATAATAACTGACAGACTGGGAAGAGAGGTGCTGCAACAGTGTCAAATATGTGATAGTGTTTTTTGAACATTCAAGCATGAAAACCTGTGCTAGTAGAGCCCAAAAACTAAATCAAGAAAAATCGTTTAGGACATGTCAAAGGGATCGTTTAAATGTTTTGTGCCTTTAACATACAAAGCTAATGAAAAATATCTATAAGAGCTATATGTAAAATATCAACCACTCATAGGGTCTTTGTTTACATGAAATAAGGGCTCGTAGGTTTAACCGTAAAAATGTCACACACAAAAAATGAACTTGGGACCTACAGTGGAGATCAAAAGTATCACTAAGTCAATACAAAATAAGGAAAAGTTATATTCTGAACAATGTCTGAAACTTTGTGATACTAGCACTTATGTTTAAATCACTTGCTGTATTCCTCAATTGTAAGTCGCTTTTATACAAAGCGACTTAAATTAATGCAGGTAAAAATTAACTGTCTATAATGCAACAATATTAATCAAAATGGGCAAAAAAGAAAAAAGCATTTTATTAATTTATATATTTTTTAACAAAATAGTTTAGTAAATAATTAATTGAAAAACAAAAATAATAAGCAATGCTTAATCCACACAATAATTATTTACTGAATTGCAATATTTAATGCATTTTAATTAAAAAAGAATTATTATTAATATCATTATTGTTAAATATATTAATGATCCTAATACCAATAATAACAAAATCTAAATATTAAACATTTTATAAATATTGCTAAATACATCTGCAACATCTTACTCTTTATTAAAATTTTGTGTGATTTAGAATTCATATATATATACACCGGTATATATATATATATATATATATATATATATATATATATATATATATATATATACACACACACAAGTAAATTGGTAAGATTGATGTGCATTAAGCTGAAAAAAAAAAAGACAAGTAAATTGCAAAATTACAATTTTTGTATGACAAAATTAACCGCCCGCCACAATTTCATGTTCACGTAAAAGTGCAGATGAAGGCCACCCTAACAAGAGCATGAAAGATTATCAACACTGAATAATGCATAAAGCGTGTCTCCGAGCGGCTGCTTTTCTTAGTCCATTCATAATCCAAACCCGCACACGCTGAGACGAGGCAGAGAGAATTCATTAGCAAAGCGATTCTCGACAAGAGAGCATCTGCTAATGGATAACATCAAGCAGAATTCCTTTCAGAGCTGCTCCATTGATTCACCATCAAAAGAATTCTCACAGGCCTTTTTCGACGGGTGGGGGTTTCCTCGTTTCGTGTTAGAAATCATCACCAAATATTCACTGCGGCCTATTCATTTTAAACGCACGAAGTGTACTAGAAACACCCATTTTAAGACACTACAAGACTAAATCATTCAAAAGAATGACGTGGAACATGCAATTCAGAGATCACGATGAATTCTCAGCGGCGAAATCTCATCGCTGGAAAACAAAGGGCTTTTTTTGACAACCGTTTTTCTTGAGGAGACAAAGAGAGCATGTGATTTGTGGTGTGAGCAGGTGTCAAAGTCTGAGACTTGGCTGCTCTCAACCGACTCTGTTGTTCCTCCATCTTTCTGCAGGTTAATGGGTTTCACATCACAGCCTGAAATGTCAGTTTTACCTCATCTTATCATGATATGTCAGCCTAATATGGATAAAACCCAAATAAACCTGCACAAACTTCCTGTTAAGGATCCACATATGACAAATTCAGCAAGCAAAACGCAAACTTTTCGAGATTTAGGTACTTCCTTCAGAGTAAAGTATAAAAAGAAATCTTATACTCCAAAAATAAAACAAAAATTAAGAAATTACATTTCGCATAAAGAAAGTAAACTCTTTTTACCACACGGTAAAAATGACAATAATAAAATGGTTTGCTTGAAGTTGAAAATAATAAACAGTAAAACAAATAGTACCATTATGTCAACAATATTACAATTTTTATATAATATACAAGTTGTTTTGCATTAAGATAATGAGAATCATTCACATTGAGGTAATGAGAATTGGCATGGAAAATGTGCTTAATTTTCATTAAAACAATCCTAAAAATATAATTGAAATTGAAATAACTCCTAGATGTTAGATTATGAGGTATAAAATGGCCTCTATATGTGTTTGAATATATTTTCATGAGATCAACGAGCAATTGTGCAAACGTGATTTCCCTAAAATAACCAACTAGACACTAGATAAAACGGACTGCGTTTCAGGCTGACACAGAAATCATTGATCTTGTAAGGTCAGTAAAGCAACATTAGTACATTAGGAAAACTGAAGACAAGATCCTGACACAAGTTCCTCATCCAAACTCTAATATTACTGCAGCAAGACTTCACACACATACGAGAAATTGTTACATCAGGTCCCTAAAGATAATTGAGCAAACATCATAAAATGGCAACATCTCTCCATAGCAACAAGTCCCAGCATGCACAAACAGAGAGCACTTGCCAGACAAAAATGCACTTCAGCCTGTTTACCTCAGAGGAATAGTCTTGGGGGGGGGGGGGAATAAAAATATAACTATAAAACAAAAAATATCTTGTTACAATCTGGTGCCAAAGCTAAAGGACTTCCAGCAAATAGTCAGCAAAATTCAACTATTCCACACACAAATTTGTAGAAGTATTCTACATTTCCCACAAAATCTAATGATGATGTAATGATAAATGAAAGTTTGTGTTCAACCACATATTTCATGACTGTGTTTAATCAATTCATTTAAACTGCTGAGGTTATTATTAAAGCGTTTGAATTCGCCACAGTATTAATAACATCGCTGCAAGATCTAGTGAGAAGCATTCAAAATTGGCGCAGAATTCTCTGTTATAAATATATATATATATATATATATATATATGATATGATCATATATATCAGATCAAATAGCGCTTACATGGAGACCCCAGGGGAAGCATTGTCCCATAAACGAACAAGTTATAGAAGGCTTTCCAATCCACAAATCACCAACATTCACCATGGATTTAAAGGTGCTCTACGTAACTTTTAGCGGCCTCTAGTGGTGATGTTTCAGATTGCAACCAAATTTTACAAGAGCGCTCGTGCTCAAGCTCATAGACAATACCGTCTATTACGCAAATATCTCGGCGAATACTTGACGGATTCGGCGAGCACCGAGCTCGTTGGGACCATCTAGTCGAGCTGAAAAGAACCATATAATTCCATAGTTTTTGGTGGTGTTTTCGCGGAGATATTAGCAGAAAACCATCGGGCGCGCTGTAAAATTGCGGACGCCGGTGACGTCACGATTCAGAAGAAAATCGCTCGTATCTCTGGAACGCAAAGACCCAGAGAGCTCAAATTCGGGGGAGGAGGTCCCAGGGGAACTCTTGCCCGACTGCTAGAGTGGCGGGCCTCGGTGATGCCCCCTACCGGATCGCCGTTCGCTGGGACCCCCGATTTCGAACGGCTATAACTCGGGGAGCCGGGCGAGTTGGACCTCGGGGGTGGGCTCGTTCGAAAGGCCCCGTCCAGCATTACGAACGATTAGAGTCTTGGGAATATTAATCAAAGATTGACTGAGATATAAGCCGAAAAACGTGCGCCTTTAACCGGACGTAACTCCCTGACCGTCTACAATAGACTGTATATAAGAAGAGAGGCAGGAGACTTCACATAGAAATAGGAATACTGGCCTTCAGAGGTAATAGCAAAACCCGACACGTGGATCATTGTAATGTGTGATTACAACCCCTTCACACACAGGCAATAAAAAAAGGATTCATTTTAGAAGAAAAGTTCCATATAGCACCTTTAATTTAGTAACTCTAACTGTAACCATGGTATTGTGGCAAAAATAGTCGAATGTTTTTACATTATTCATTTCAGGGTTCGAACGACCTTTTGAGAGTGAAATCAAGCACTTTTCAAGGGTTTCCAAGTGTTTCACACATTTTCCAGCCCTTTAAAGCTCTAAATAATATGATCGAATTTAAATGTTATTTTTAGTGTGATGACAAAAAACATTTTTCTTAGATTGTCCCCATCTGTAAAACTTAAAATTTCAATATGTAGAAAAAATAGCACTTGTTTGCAAACAAACATTTATTTAAAAATAAAAAACATTAAATGACCACTATTGCCAGTAGGTGGCGGCAGAAGGGCACTTATTGGCTTAGTAGCCATTTCCACTCCCTTTTATTGCTTTTAAATTTATATTTATACATTATAAAATCACTATTATAAAATATGAAATCAAGAAATCAATTTTTGTCAAAGCTTGACACTTTTTTGTGCTGAAGTATGAAAAACAAACTTTCTTCAAACTCAAGACTGAATTACACAAAGTAAATAGCGCTCCTTTTATAATCACTGAAGCTGTCGGTCAGTTCAGTGTGATACTATAGAAGAACAATGTTACATTTAATAAGAGTACAATATTTAAATTTGTCCCTATAAAATTAGTTTATTTCTAGGTTAAGGATGTCAATAAAAGTTCATTTTAAAGGTGCTGTATGTAACTTTTTCACTCTACTAAAGCATAAAAATACCATTTGCATATATTGAGGAAATATATACTTGTTTCTCTGAAAAACACTTCTACAGCCAGTTATTTTACTTTGAAATGTGCATTTCCAGGCTGGAATGTCCATTGTCATTGTCCATT